GTATATGGGAGAGTAACTGTAACTTAACTCTAAGGAGTATTATTATTAAAAAACAACCAAAAATTCAAAAACTGCAGCCCAGCAGGCTGCATGATGCTGCACTGGTTAGAACTGGCACCTCACAGCAAGAAGGCTCCTGATATGAGTCCCAACTCTGGCCTTTTTGGAATTTACTCTAATTGTCACTCGAGCAATCTTTTAATTTGTTAAGCTTTTTTTCACTCCATGGCTTCCTGAAACTAAAAGCTATTCAACCAATTGAATAACTATGCAGGTTTCCTTTGAGTATTCCAGTTTCCTCCTGTAGTCCAGACACATGCATGTTAGATTAACTGATTATTCTACACTGACCATAAAGTGCTTTGAGTCTATATAAGTGTGTGGTTAAAAAAGTGACTTGAGTGGGAAAACACTAGATAAATGCAAGTACATTACATTACCATCCTGTGGTGAGTCACAGCAGCTGTGATTTTTTCAGCAGCTTTTTTGTTTCCTGCCTCTGCAAAACTGTGAGTGTGAGCATTGTGACAACATGTGACCCATCTGGTCATGTCTTTCTCCATCAGGATGCAGCACTGGGGGTTGAACACCTACCTGTACGGTCCGAAAGATGACCTGAAACATAGACTGCTGTGGAGAGAAGTCTATTCTCCTGAAGAGGAGGGTAAGGACCTCTAACCATAGCAAATTTTCACTCATGTGGGCATCCATGGTTTCCTGAAAGCTGTAAAACCAATTTAATCTATTTATAGGGGAACCACAAGGGTACAAGTACAATCAGACTATTGATTCATTGTACACTAGTATAGCAGAACGTCTCTGACACATTCTGAAATTTCCCTTTTGGCATTAAATGTATGTTTCATTGTGATCATAAAGGCGTCTACAGTTTTTATGATGTCCATTAAATTTTTTTATTGCACCTTTTACTGCGAGAGTCAAGCTGATTTCCACAAGGATACATAAAAAGAGGGCAAGGGAAATGTCAGTACACATTATACCGCAGCTCAGGATTTAGTATGTAATCTTGTCATATAAACAAAGTGAAAACAAAATATTCAGACATCTTTAATCTGTGTTTAAAAACATTTTTGTCCTGTTTTAAAATTCATATTTAGTATTTTTCCACTTTTCTCATCCTCCCAGGTCAGCTGCGTACTCTCATTGTAGAGGCCCAGTCGAGAGGCCTCAGGTTTGTTTACGCGCTGTCTCCAGGTCAGGACATAGTCTTCTCCTCTTCCTGTGACTTGACTCTACTTAAACGCAAGCTAAGACAGGTAGGCTACACAAGGTCATCTACTACAGAAGTTTCATTGATTTCTGTACTCTTTAAACTCAACCTCATCACTCTGTCCAGGTATCAGACCTGGGTTGCCAGGCATTTGCCATTCTGTTCGATGACATTGATCACTCCATGTGTCAAGCCGACAGCGAGGCCTTCACTTCATTTGCCCACGCTCAGGTCACAGTAACCAATGAGATTTATCGGTTCCTGGGGGAACCGCCTGTCTTCCTGTTCTGCCCTACAGGTAGGCTTGTAGATTGAGGACTTGTTACAGGACTGAAAATTATATAAAAAAATGTAACATGAGCACTTTTTTATATTTGCCTCTTCATTAAATATCACTGCTTTTCTCCCTCTCTGTGTAGAGTACTGTGGTTCTCTCTGTTCTCCCAGTGTATCCAAGTCTCCCTACCTGCAAACTGTGGGAGAGGACCTGCTGCCTAACATAACAGTAATATGGACAGGTAAGATGTATATTTGTATATTTTTTTTTTTATTGTGACCCTGTGAACTACAATTTTATTGCTGATTTCATATTATTTTATATTTATAGTACTTGAAGCACTGTCTGTGTTCAGCCATGACAAGTTTTACTCAATCTGTGCCACTTGCATATTGCAGATATAATTTTCTTTGCTAAGAAAAGTGGCTTTTGTTTCACTAGTGAGACCTTCAGCAGGTCTATAGGCCTTAGGTCATGTTGGCAGTGGCACTTGTCCAATTTAAAATAATAGAATTCGCTGGTTAGCTAACTTATATGGTGCTCTGACATTGTTTTATATGGACAGTATATGCATGTAGTGTACCTGTTTTTTTTCTGTGCATTTCCTTAATTGCTTATCTGTTATTGAACTTGATTCTGCTGAAAACTGTCACAATTTACTACTACAAAATCCTTCTAAACAGGCGGTGCTGAAAATATGGGGCAGGAAGTCCGTACTGTAGTTCAAAAATGAAAATCAAAAGACCAAATAGGGCACAAAGAAACCAAACTCAGATGAAAGGCTCAAAACATAAGTGATTAGAAACACAAGGGAGTTGCAGCAAGAGCCCGATAGATTGACACTAGAGAGGGAAGGCCTGTAACCTGCAGGTGAAGTCATGCATTTAGGAAGGTGGGAGAAGAAAAACGGGAAAGAAAAAAATGCAAAAACTCACATGAGAAACTAACCTTCAAAGTGAAGGAGGGAGTAAATCGAAAGAGAGACAGAATGAACTCAGACCTCACCAAAAAAGAGGGGCTGAAGCAGAAGGAACAGAAGGAACACAGAGAAAAACCTTCAAAAACACAAAAGCACCGAAAAGTTTAAGATTCATAATAGAATCTGTAGCTCATTACAAAGCCCATAACGTTAACTGGAACAGACACAAGTTTGTATTCTAATGATTTAATGTGATTTGGAGCAGAGCCAGCAGCCCTTCTAGTTTGAATGAGAAACAACCAGTCCCTCCAGGAGGACCAGCTGAACAGGGTCATTGCTCTGCATGCCAAATATGCATCAAAGCTTGTAGAAATATTTTAGGTGCGTGTCATTAAAACGTACTGTAAACACCTTGTAACTCCAGTATTTCACAGTAACATTGTTATCTGACTGTAGGTTTATTTATTTAGCTGTCCTAACTAGAGATGGACCGATCCGATATTACGTATCGGTATCGGTCCGATATTGACCTAAATTACTGGATCGGATATCGGAGAAAAAAAAAAAATGTAATCCGATCCATTAAATATCACGAAAGCACCCCACAAAACTTGCAACACGCCGTAACTCACCTCAGAACGTTAGCACGT